ATGAAATATAATATAAAGACACATTATGATGTATGGACTGTGAGAACAAGAGACTCCTCAACCTACAGTAAGCCACATTTAAGCATTTAATGACATTTGATTCAGCTCAATGACCAAGAAGAACAACCATGAGCAGTGGCGAGCCGTGACTTTTATACCTAGGCCCTCCGACCTATAAATCTATTTATTTATTTATAAATCTATCGATCATAAATCTATCGATTAGATTTATGATTCGAAAATTATAAAAGTAGGGTAGACATGTGGATATTATCCGGCTGAACAAAACGTGCATTTATCTAACAGGTTCGTTTTCCACAGACCTTATTTCGAGCTATTTTCCTAAATCTTTTAGGACGCGTCACTGCACCACTTTATACACATGCATAAACTTCACAGTGGGCGGAACTTGTCATAAAGTCCGCGAAAATAAAGCCCACCCATTTATGGCGCATTTCCACCGCAGGCCTCGCTCGACTTAGTACGGTTTTGTTAGACCTTGTTAGGCCTTGTTAGGCCCGGCTCACTTTAATGCTGCGCTTCCATTACAGTTTAGGAACTGGGGTAGTATCTATAGTAAGCAGTGTAGGCGGAGCCGTGACGTCATCTTCAATGAGCACCCCAGAAAAACAACATCAGCCGTTAGCTGTTAGCACTCAGAGCTCACAGCTCCTCATATCTGTTCAGAAACTAGACAAAAGTTAAACAAGTACAAACCACAGACTGTCTGTGTCATGGCGAGTACAGTCGCTGGTTTATTTATGTCTGTATAGGCCGTTGTTGTGAGTGTGGACGGTTGGAGCATATATTGCGTTAGCTTAGCCGATCTCCATTTAGACAACACGCATTTTAAAAGGTTTTTTGCCTGCCGTCTGTCTGCAGACTTGTCAAAGCATTAATTCATGGTTTTTACTAACCGGTATCAGTATGTTGTTACTTCGGCATCATTTTGAAACGTGTATTACAATTAAATCACGGTCAAATATGTTCATCTTGTTGTAGTTGTAGCCCCCTTGCCAGCGATTCTCTCTCTAGTTTAGCAAACTCAGCCCGACTCAGCCCTGTTTGTTGGCTCCGATAGAACCACGATTTTGTCGGGCCAGAAAAAAGGTGAAAAAGTAGCCCCGGCACGACACGGCACGCTTAAACCGCGCTCCGCACCATGGTGGAAATGCGCCATTAGAGGGAATATATGGTTGGTCAATTGTACTGTCACTTGACATTACTCTCTCGTTGAGTTACTATAGCGGGCCCTCTGTGAATTTACAGCAGGACCACCAATCAGCTCATATCTTCACAGTAACTCGCAGAGACGAGCTTCTTTCATTTAACCCTTCACATTCAAACAGAAACTGAACAGGCAGATTCGAAGGATTTATTTCTTTGGAAATGTTATTTTAAATACAATTAAATCAAGTTATTTTGGTAAAACTAATGAAAAATATAACTAAAGAAATATTGGAAAAAAAATGTTGTTTTTTTTAATGTTTTCAAATATTATTTTTTAGAATATCTTAGGCCCTCAGAGAGGGCCTATAGGGCCCTGACGACTCGCCACTGACCATGAGTAATCTAAACTTAACGACATCTGGTTAGCCAACACTTGCCTACTTTGATAAGGCAAAATCTGATCATCGACGATCATCATTATTGTCATTTTAAAAGCTTTATTTCAACAAGTCTACCTACCAGCAGCCATGTATCTTTATAGTCAACGTCCTGTGTCAATAGTAAAATAAAACTATTTTAATAGCATTTTAAACTTATGCACACACTAACGTCTATTGCCTCATTGACACCAACGGTGTTTCAGGGCCGGTTCGGAGCTGGAGCTTGAAAAGCACCGGGTTTTCCTGTTCACACCGCAGCGGAACAGCCTCTTAGCTCCGGAATCCGGTTCGTTTCAAGCACCAAAAAATTGTCCGGCTAGAGCAAAAGCACCGCATACGTCACGCTTACGTCGAGGCGGGGGCAGGGGCAGGATCAACTCCTGAACAACAACAAAAAGCCCGCGTTTTATCCAGTTTGTACACAACGATGGAGAAACTTAACAAGCAGCAGTGGTCCACTGAAGAGACCAGCTACCTACTGGTCTTCCATTTTGTTTCGACAGAGCAAAACCAAAACGACTAGCGCTTCAACACAATCGGCCATTGTTGTTGTTATCGGTGTGAGCTGTGAGGGGTTTCCGCGCGGTTTGGCTTGATGAAGCAGGCACGCAAACGGTTACGTCATGACCAGAGTTGGGTGTAACGCGTTACTGTAATAATATTACTTTTGTCGGTAACGGAGTAGTGTAACGCGTTACTTTTATAATTCAGTAATCACACTACAGTTACTAACATTGCCCCGACACGCGTTACTTCGTTACTTTTATAAAATCAGTCATAATCACACTGACAGACAAGAGGGGTTTCCGCCGCAGGTTTATATGTACGTAATCTGCGCGACTTGCGCGTCCACATCTCCACGTGCAGTGCTGCATAAACATGGCAGAGTCAGCGATAACTTTCGAGGGGTGGAGGTATGCCCATTATTTTGAGTTCGTCCGAAGAATAGGCAGGAATGTGACGGTGAGGTGCAAACTGTGTCCAGGCCAGAAGCTGTTATCCACTGCTGTAAACACCATGTCAAACCTCAACAAACACCTGCAAAGAACACATGCTAAGGTGAAGCTAATAGCTAAGGACCCCCGAACCCAGAGTGAGGATGTTGTGAGTGCGCCGCCGCTGACTCCGAAGCGGCACAAATTAGAATTTGGAGGACCGGTAACCAAAGCAGAGATGGACAGGCTTGTAGCATCCTTCATAGTAGAGGTAATGTTGCTCATTTGCACAGTGGAATCACCATCGCATCGTTCAGAGATATACTGCGCAAAATACAGATAGCAGGAGACAGAGGACAGCCATAGTCAGAGCTATCTGGATCAGTCAATGGAAACTGAACTAAAGAGAACATTTGAAACTTTAGCAGTCTGCGTGATCTGCCTGTAGGGAGGGGCGGGCCGGCCCTGCGAGTAAAGTAACGAGTAAAGTAACGAGTAAAGTAACGAGTTACTTTATGTAGAGAGTAACGAAGTAGTGTAATATATTACTTTTTTTTAAAGTAATATGTAATATGTAATATATTACTTTTTTTTAGTAACGACCCCATCTCTGGTCATGACGCAAACGATGACGGGTGGGCGGTGTGAAAAGAGCCGGAGCTAAACCGAAGAACCAGTTCTGAACCTGAAAAGCTCGAGCACGGAGCTTGAACCGGAGTTGCGTTGGTGTGAATGAGGTATGTGACATGCGAAGGAGAATAAGATGAGCTGTGGATTCCATTACCCTTAGCATCCCAAGTTGTTATGCAAGGTATGTTTTTCGTCCATCTGTCAGTTTGAATTGTAGAACTATTAATCATCTGGAACATTGTAAATCTGTCTAAACTATGTTATTGTAAAATGCACTTCTGTCATCGACAGGAGCACGCACTGCTGACATGTAGCGTTGCACCCTTTTCCTTTAGTTGCACGAGAAACGTTAGAATGTTCATTGTGATTTTTTAAAACAAAGTGTGTTCAAAATTGTTTCCATTGTATCCCTTACATGTTTCTTTAGACATGAACACGTGTTCTATGGTTATCTGAAGCAAACCACACCCCGTGTGTCAGGGTGGGGATTCAGTTGCGTAAGATATGAAATGTTCTTCTTTCTCCTTGGAGCCCTTATTTGCATACATAGTCCTGTATATTTATAGTCAACGCCCTGTGTCAGCGGTAACAAGTAAAGCATTGAGCATGTGTATGCTTGAGAGGTGGAAACTTTGCCGACATCATGTCAGTCATAATTTTTTATATAGCTAGACACCTGAGAAAGACAAACGCTTGTTCTTCACAGCGTGACGGTCACATCACTTTATGTATTGAATATTTTTCTCCCTCCATCATAAGTTCTCTTGTTGTGCCCCCTCCTTAGATGAAATTCTTCCTCTCACCATGTTTCGTGTGTAAACAAGCCAGATCATGCATGAGCGAAAAGGATCCTCAAAGCAAGTATATGAGATCTTAATTGAAAAACAACTTCTCAGGTGCTGTCTCTCTTAACTATACTTTCACACTAACCATGTTTTTTTGCCATCAGGGAATTTTGAATAGAATCTTTACATTTTGCCTTATGCCAAGTCTGATCCAAGGTGATACTTCACAATGTTTAAAAAAATAGGTCTGGGATCATAGTTTGTTTCGTTTCTTTTTCTTAAGAAATGCCAGGGATATTCTCTTTTAAACGTTCTTACTTATTGAATGACTACAAATACCACAAATAGATCGCTATTGTTGGGTGTATGTTTAAGCTTTGAGGTGTTTACCTAGTAAGTGTTCCCTTTAGAAATATGTAACATGTCTTTGAGAGTTTGTCCGGAACAGCATGTCCTTCCTCAGAGGGAGACACTTCAGACACTAACACAACACATGCCAATGTATTGTTTGAATGCTAACTGTATGGTTCTGGTGGATCTTGATCAAAAGCTTTTGTGTATTAAGAATCAAAATCAGATTTATTGCTGAGTAGGTTTACACATACAAGCAATTTACTTTGATGAACATATGTGGTGCTTACTTAAACGCAGTGAGACAAATTAAGTGGTAAAAAAGGACCAGAAATAAAGCTATAATAAAAATGTTCAATTAAGAATGATAGAAATATAGAAAAAACTACAATAAAAATTTGAAAAAATGCTCACATGCCGTATTAGAATTTAAAGTGGAAAGCTGTGCAGATTTTAAAAGAGATAGTGTTGATCATTAATGAGCTCAATATACAGAAAATAATGAGCATCAACTCGGGTAAGTATAGAGTCTTGTTGACCCTTTTCTTTACATTTTCTTTAGTTTTCTTTGGTCCCTCACCGAGGTGGTATTATTCATATTGCACTCATTCTATAGTCATTACTCAAAACACGAACATAGGTTACTGAAATGGTAATTCTTGAAACTGTGTTAAAAATGTGCACTCTGTAGCTGGTTAGCTCAGTTGGTTAGAGCGTGGTGCTAATAACACCGAGGTCGTGGGTTCGATCCCCATACTGGGCTATGGATGACGGAACATGACATAAGTATAAATAAATAGATTTGTAAATAAATATATGAATAAATAAATACATAAAAAAGAAAAGTAATCCGGGAATAAATAAATACAGGAATAAATAAATGAGGAAATAAATACACAAATAAATAAATAAATGCACAAATAAATGAATGTATAAATGTATAAATAAATAAATAAAAGTTGAAAATAAAACAGAACACACATTATTATATATCTTTAATATATTTCTACATTTACGGTCACTTACATTTATTTATTTATTTATGTATTTCTGTGTCCGTATGCTAATGAGGTGGGCGGTCCTAACCTCAGTCTGAAGCAGGATTGGTTACAGGAGTGTGATCATTTCTGGCAGATTAGGTTTAGCAGAATTGGCATGCTTTTGTTCTCAGGAGGGGACTTTGAGAGAGTATTACCCAAAAAGTACACAGTAAAAGTACTTCATTTTATTGCAGTCAAACTAGGACTGAGTCCAACAGTGTCCATTTTATTAAGAACTTGTGTTACAAATTATTTGTATCGCTCCGCAAATAAAGCAGAAAAACATCAAATCAAATCAAATCAAGTTTTATTTATATAGCACATTTTTAAAACGATTTTTAGTCGAGCCAAAGTGCTGTACATACAATAAAATACTTTACAATAAAGACACTTTACAACAAATACAACAGCACAGTTTGTGCAGAATATCAGTATGAGAAAACGACACCCTCTGTCCTTAGACCCTCACATCGTACAAGGAAAAACTTCCGGAGAAAAAACCCACAGTTTAAAGGGGAACATGGGAGAAACCTCAGGGAGAGCAACAGAGGAGGGATCCCTCTCCCAGGATGGACAGACGTGCAATAGATGCCGTGTGTAAATCGAAGAGATAATACGTTTTACAGCGTAGGTAGACCAAATGTTTGGAAATGAACATAGTAATAAGAAGATGAATCCACGAGGATGTCAACAATCCTGTGGGAGCCATCAGGGAAGTAGTATGATGAGAGTCAGGCAGGACCGCAGTGATAGGTTCAGCCACGACTCGAAGTCCAGGACTCAATCCAGAACTCAGGATAGAGGATCCAGGACACAGGACCGCAGCAACAGGATCAGCCACGACTCAGGATCCCGGCGTAGATAGACACAAAAGAAAAGAAATTTGGAGGAAGCTGGGTTAATCGGAACATGAGAGTACACAGGTACAGACAGACAGAAGGAAGAAGCAATGCGTCCCCCGACAATCTAAGCCTATAGCAGCTAAACTAACATGTATGCACTCCCTTAGGATAGGTTGAGGGAAAAGGGTAGTAGGTAAGAAGAAAGGAACAGAGGTGGAGAGGCACAACGTGTCAACGTACATGCACTCCCTTAGGATAGGTTGAGGGAAAAGGGTAGCAAGTAGGAAGTAAGAAACTGAGGTGAAGAGGCACACGCAGGGAACAAGATCCCCACTGGAACCTTAATTGGAATTGGTGAGAGGTAAGGAGGTACGCTGTGTCTACGGTCATAACACTCCCCGGCCTGAATAGGCGTCTCTGCAACCTGTTACCCTCTAATAGAACCTCAAGAGGTCAGAGAGGGTTTTGGATAAAGAGAAAATAGAATGAATAGATTACAGGAGTAGAGAGTATGAGAAGTAGAGAGAGAATAGATTTAGAAGACTGAGTAGTAGTAATAACCTTAGTTTTAAATATAAGATCCAAGCTTTTAGGATTTAAGTGAAAGAGCAAAAACCAAAATGTAGGTGAAGAGGCACAGTGTGTCTACGTCAATGCACTCTTATTAGATTATTTATCAACTATAAGCTTTATCAAAAAGGAAGGTCTTAAGCGTACTCTTAAAAAACGGATAGGCTGTCTGCCGCCCGAACACAAAACTGGAAGCTGATTCCACGAAAGTGGAGCTTGATAAGAAAAGGCTAGAAGGTCAGAGAGAAGAAGTGAGTCTTTATAATAATAATAATAATAATATGAAATGGAATTTATAAAGCGCCTTTCATGGGACCCAAGGTCGCTGTACATGGTGGACAGACAAAACAAAACAGACAATGAGGAGCGAACAAAACAAGACAAAATAAAATAAAGGAAGCCAGGGGACCAGGAAAGGACTAGGGTCTGAAGGCCACGGTGAACAGGTGTGTTTTTAGTGAGGATTTGAAGATGTCCAGTGAGGCAGCGTTCCGGATCTCAGGAGGAAGTGCATTCCAGAGGGTGGGGCCGCAACACTGAACGCCCTGTCACCCACAGTACGAAGGCGAGAGCGGGGGATGGAGAGCAGGCCCGTGTCGGAGGACCGCAGACTCCGAGAAGGGGTGTAGGGATGTAGGAGGTCAGTTAAGTACTGGGGGGCGAGGGTATGGAGGGACTTGTACGTGAGGAGGAGTGTTTTATAGTGAATCCGGGACTTGACCGGCAGCCAGTGGAGGTGGATGAGGGTGGGGGTGATATGTTGCCATGGCTTAGTGCGGGTGAGAAGCCTGGCGGCAGAGTTCTGGACATATTGGAGCCTGGCCAGGGTTTTGCTGGGAACCCCGGACAGGACTCCATTGCAGTAGTCCAGACGGGATGTATGAAGGCGTGTATGAGTGTTTCTGCCACAGAGTCAGAGAGTGAGGGGCGGAGTCTGGCAATGTTAGAGTTGAGCAACTTTAGAGTTGATTTAAAAAAAAATGTCTAGGTAGGGCTGTGCCACATGCAATCAATTTCAGCAAACATCCCAGTATGACTTAATGCAAAAAAAAACAGGAGTTTTCAGTGTCAATTTACCAGTCTTAAATTGTAATGCCTCCATAAACAATTTAAACATTTGGAACTGAGGACTATGTACAAAAACGTAAAACAATGGCATTAGCAATACTTGCATACATATATGTATATATGATGTATATAATATATATGTATGAAAATATATATATATATATATATATTACAGAACAGCGGTATAATCAACAGTAATACAAAAAGCTGAATATGTAACAAACGAATAATAATTATTCTTATTCTTAAAATAACTGTGGTGTACGTCTTTGACGTGCCTTTAAAAACGGTGGCAGTCTTTAGGTGTCTGGGGTGTGATTTGTGCCAAAGAACGGACAACTAAGCCACGTCAGTTCTCCGCTCAGTTAGCTTAGTTGGACACCGCAAGGACACCTGGCCTCCTATTGGTTGAGGGATTTTGACAGGGTTGTTGCACAAAAAATCCAAGCGCACAGCAGAAATCTGAGAGCAGACATTTGACAAGCGCACAGAAACAGCCTGAGTGCGAGGAGAAGGTTTTAAGCTGGAACACGGGAAATCTTTGCAAGCAGCAATATATCTGAGTGCAAGCGTACAGTTTGAGCAGAAGCAGAGCAAATCTAAGCGCAAGCAGGCACTATTTGAGTGCGATGACAGGGTTTGAGGGAAAGAAATACATAATCTGAACGTGAAATCAAATTTCTCAAATTGCTCTCAAATTTAAAGACCACGCTCTTGAATAAAGATAGGGAATAACCCCCATACGCCAACGCCTCCATCAATTTTGATTGGGTTGACATAGAATACAGGCGACGTCACAACGATGTCAGACGTCACGGCGACGTATCATAGGTGCGCTCAAAGTACGCGCTCACGTGGCAGCGGCGTAGCTTAGAAAGCGATATCTTAAATTGTGCGCATTGATAACGTGGGTGTGGATTAAGCGCGTGAATAATGTACGTTATTCACGCGTTATCTCGCCTCCGTTATCATTGTATAGCATCATCCTAGCATTATATTGGTCGAATGATTCCGCTCCTACAGTAGTATGGAGAGTGTTACAGGTAAACTTCGGCACAGTATTGGTATCAGAAGAGAGGGGAATAATTAATAATCATAAGTATGAGAATATTTGCTGGTGTTTGTTGTAGTACTTTTTAAAGGTATTGGTCTTGTCTCGGAATCGACTGCATTTGGTCTCGTTCTTGTCTCGGTGTCGGACCTATAGGACTCGAGATTTTATGTCAAGACCGGTCAAGACCACGGCTGTGGCTGGGGATGTGATGAGGGTCGGGAACCGAAATCCGGTTCCGATTTGGAACAAATAACAATTGTCCAGTACAGGGATTAATACAGGGGTGTCAAACTAAATGTAATCGCGGGCCACATCAGCATTATGGCTGCACTCAAAGGGCCGGTTGTAACTTATATATAAATATATATATAAAATAATGTATTATATTACATTATTGCCTCTGCATTGGATTATTATCTGATAGGGTAATAACTTCATAATTAACAACATCTGAAAGCAGAAGTCTGGGGCAAATAATTGCAAGTCTCTTCAGTGAGAATGTCACAAAATGATTTAAAAAGAAAAGCTGGAAAAAAAGTCAAAATCAAAAAACAGAAGTGATATTTAAAGGTCCCATGTCATGCTTTTCCGGTTATTACCCGTCCCCTTGTGTGTTATGAAGGTTTTTATGCATGTAAACGGTCTGCAGAGTCAAAAACCCTCAAAGTACACCCTGTAGCGAGTAAAACTCTAACACAGAAAAGACCTCCCCAAAACGCCTCGTTGGAGATTTCTCATGTTCTTCCTGGGTATCGTGACGTGTGAACACCCAGTAGCCACGCCCAGAGCTATGATGCGATACGGTCATGCGGTACCCGGAACCAAATGGACCAATCCGTGGAGCCGTTACATTACGTCCGCGGAGCCGTTACATTAAGCCAACACACTCTCACTCCATAAACGTCCAGGAGCGACGCTTGGTCAGGGTCCCGAGGCGTGCAGTTGGGACGCTCCTAGGCTCCTTCAGCTTCATAAACGGACGCAAAGAGCTTTCAACTGATTGCAATGTATTCCCATCGGCGGCGGGATTTGACGCTTAAGGAAGCACGGCATTCGTTTGTGTCGGAGGCTGTTAAAGGCAATGTGAGCGTCCATTCCCATTGGATAACGGAGAATTGTACACCCGGAAGTAAGTATTCCCCTTACTGTCGATTGATTTGACAGTGATATCTCCACTACTCATCAACTCA